AGGCTTCAATAGATCAGGTATGCATTTAGAGTTAGATCCTATTGACCACAGAAAATCATTTTCTTTTCCTCTCCCTGGAAATACACCCATTCCATGATCATCAAACGTTCTCACAAACTTTGTATCCATTGGGAATTTGGTAGCGTTCAGTGAAGTTCGCTTTGTAAACGCTCGCCGGTTTTGAAATCCAGCAAATCGGAAATCTGCACACACATCAATGCTTCAATGCTAATTCACTCAGCGTTTTGACGGAACAGTGCAATTTTCGATAGCTAACCTTATTTAATCGTTCAGTAATTACCGGATAATACCAGTATTTTCTACATACATCCGCTTCGGTACAGTTACAATAACGCGTAAATCCTATTTATTAAATTTATCTGCAACAATCCTTTTATCGTTGGTAAAATTCGAGGGATCATACGGACGCGTTAGTAAATAGTCTTGACCACGTTCGACGCAAATAAAAGAAATAGAAAAAAGTACGATAGTTTTTTTATTATACAAAAGTGAATCTAGCAAGAGGTTTACCCCACGGCCCAATATTATACTGTAGGTGCAAAGGTAAGGAGAACATTCAAGCTAGATTCTGCGTTCAAAGATAAGAATGTTGTACGTTGAAGGGAGGACTGAAATAGGTAGTGTTCCACAGTTAAACTGTTCTTGGGGAAAATGATTGAAAATTAGAAATGCGACATCTGGGGATAATCACTTGTACGCTTTTACGCGGGATCTACGAGGAAGAACAAGCGGGAGAGGGACAGCAATTCCAATGTTGTAGCAATTTATCTGTCTATCTATAACGTAAATAACCCAAATCAATCCACTGCTGATCGGAGCCCCTGAGACCATCGAACCAGACCCTGAAGAACTCATCTGTTTCACAACGTGAAGTGCATATATATTCTATGACAGTTTGACTCTGTTCTGCTTCACCCTAACCGTCCTTGTGCCGGTTTCCGTCCAACGATCTGCATGCCACTTCTTGTCATTTTACTTACTGCTTGTCGTGTTTCCAATCATCCCATCATTCATCCGGAATAATAATTCTTGTTTTTCGTCTTATTTCCACCAACTTGCTCTCTTAGAGCATTCCGCCATCCTCAACCTTTTCTTATATGATACCTCGTCCACTCTATGTTCCATTTGTAATTATGTTCACATCGACCTTTAAAATTTTGTTTCCTCCCGGTTTTGGGTCAATCCTGCACGGTGGATTATGTTGTTCATTTTATCATGCCTATGCACGCCTCACGGGGCTTCGTGAAATATACAAATTATTATTATTATTATTATCTATGTATATATATACACCTAGCGTCGTTCCTTATATTGGATGATCAATCAATATGCAGAAACGCGATTCACCACAGATTCCAGCGCTTCAGAGGACTGAATTAAACGAGAACGAAACACCATGAATCTGGATTTGTCATCGCCGTATTTTTCCGTGCCCACCGTAATTGGTTTTGAAGAGCCAACAGCTGTAGTAACGTCTTGAAGAATGTGTATGCCGCGGTAGTTCGGCCAGTTCCGCTATACGGCGCAGAAACTTGGCCATTGAGAAAAAGGGTTTGAAATAGACTGTCCGTGTTTGAACAGCGCTGTCTATGCAACATCACACGAATCTCGCTAAGTAGCCGGACGAGCAATGCTGAGGATTTTAGGTATTCGGAGCAAAAGATCGACCATAGAATACGTTGGTTTGGACATATGTTACGCACATCATAGGTTGCTACGACGAACGATGTTTGCCGAAGTAGTGGGTAGAAAAAAAACCAAGGGTGGTCAAACCAAGACCTGGCACGAAGATATGAAAACCCTGACCAAAAGGACTGGGTGACGTAGGTCCCGTTGGGCCTCTTTGATGGGGATTTCGGGAAGTTCGTGAACGATGGTTAGAGACTCTGAGTGTTTTAAAC